GCCAGCACCCACTCCTCGAGCGAGCCCTTCGACCCCTCGGTACTGACGACCGTCGTCGGATGGAACCCGGAGTGCGCCGATTCGCATCAAGGTTAGATGAATATTTGAGTGTGAGTGTTTGTGCGCCGGCCGACGTCCGTGCCGCGGCGCCGGCACCCCCGCCGTACGCGCACCCTTCCGCTCGCCGAAATGCACTAGGTACGTCCGCACTACGCGGAGAATCTGAATGACTCAAGGAAAAATACTCAAATTGTTCTAAATTAGTACGTCACATAACAAAACATTTAAAACAACAAATAAGATGGCAAAAATCAACATTTACAATATTCAGTGTTTAGGCGTAGAAAAAGTATTTAGAAGTGTCGTAGCACTTTCAGGATCGGAACGGAGGCGTCCGTTCGGTTTGATGTCAACACTTGTCGTAGAAGGCGTTAATTTATTTTTCGCGCCTTGTCTGTTCACTACGGTGCTGCGTGAACTTTTTCGCTATTCAAATAAATTGCTTCTTATTGCATGTATTATGCAGAACCGTATAGATTAAAAATAATAATAATAAAGATGCTATTAAGACGAGGTTCATGAATGAAACTATACCAGCTCTGTATGTCCACACTCAATTTACATTGGGCTCGGTTCTTATGGTTGTAATAATTTAAACACATTACTTGCGTCAATGGGAAACGCGTACTAAATTAAGACGTGATTTATATTTGTAAATCTAATACTTGTATGATATAAAAACTTATATAATCCATATAATAGCATGTTGTGGAAGTTTCCCAACGTAAAGCCCGTCCACGTGCTTCCTACAAAAAGTTCGGAATTCGAGAGTCAGAAGTTTACAAAGCTGAATCAAACTTTCAAACGTGTTATATAAAGTTAATTTAATTATTTTTGATAAACAAACAAAGTTTTATTAAAGTCTAGATAAAATTTAAAATTATTTGGTTTAAAAAATTGATTGAACATTTAACACTTTGGCAACGACCCCGAAAACCTATTAGACGATAATATTCGTTAGGTTAGGTTAGTTGGCAGCTGTCTTTTATGTTCCGGTTTTTCGTGTTTGTTCGTGATATAATATTCATTTAGTTGTTTTAAAGTTCATGCAAATATATCGAGAACACTGATTAATTGCTTAAAATATTTTTCACATTCTACGACAGTAAGAAAAGATTGCCGACGGCAATATTTTTCATATTTAATCACCTTAGTCTCTAAGGAGATTTGTAAGTAGTTAAAAGTTTTATGTCACTTAGAATTCTTAGTCATAATAATCTTAGTAATATAATATTGAAATATAACAATGTTGAGTTTAGAGTGGTATACCACAGCTGGAAAGCTAGGCGTAGCTAAAAGGTTAATCTGAGACTTCAACACTAGTCAGAAGCGTTTTTATTTATTTCTAATCACAATGTTTGTTTTCTTCACGTGACTTCAGTTGCAACGTACCTTAAGGTTCGAGGCTCACTGCGCCCTAATTTTATCTTTTAACAATAACATGTACGTAGAATGTGATAGTTAGAACCGAGTCACTGACTGCAGTCTCTCTTTAGATTAGCGGTGTAGACAGCAAATTGAACTTACCGAATAAGTCATGTGTTTATTACTAACTTTAATATCTTGCATTTCTCACTGATCCATTAATTTTAGTGTGTTCCATCCATACATTTAAATTAAATTGAAATATAATAAGTTAAAAACTAGAACCACTTACCGATTGGCTTTCATTGTGGATTATAACAAAATAAGCATTTATTATAAAAGCTTTTATAAAATAACTCTATGAAATATAAATATATTAAATAAATTGAACATAATTATTGCATTCTAAACACTGACCAAAAATACGGAAGCAGCATTAAAATATGCAACTGCATATTTTAGTCGTATAAAAAAGACCAAGTATGTATTCTTGATTTAACTTTCGATAAACATTTTATTAAGATAAACATCCTCGTCTAAGCAATTATATTAACGTTTTAAAATGCTTCTTTATTCTATTTAGTGGGAAATAAAAATGCACATTATACTAATGAAAAATATTAGTATATGTCCTTAAACAATTAACAATTTAAAATATAAAATATAACCGTAAGTTTTCTACCGACGAGACTTTTAAAAAACGTTCGTTTTTTTTTGTAAACGCACAACAATGTAAACATGTAGTTTGAAATGTTTTGGTGATCTAAAACCTCAATAATCGGTTGAAGTGTGTATGAAGTTGCTTGTTTGAACTTACACACAAAAACATTTTCATATTTAAATCTATACATGTAATAAAATTGGAGTATCTTTTTGTAATATCAAAGAAAAATTCTTGATTTCGGGAAGATGATGTTCTTGCGTTGTTGATAACGAAAATCGAAAAAAAAAATTGTCTGTCTGTCTGTCCGCAAGCCGCGTTTGTTCCGGGTAATATCTGAAACGTCTGGGCTGATTTTAACGGGGCTTTCACTGGAGAGTAGCTGACATGGACGAGCATATTATAGGCTGCATTTTTTTAAATTCTACGCTGTCAAAATGGCGACCGGACCGCTATCTCTGAAACGGGTGGACCGATTTGGACGGGACTTGGAATGGAAGGTAGCTGGTAGAAGGTAAATGCACGCGGGAGTGAGATAGATGAAGTTACGAAGAAGATACAAAGTTTTTGGGCGACAGCTCGTAATGAAATAATTTTGTCATTTTGTACTTCATTTTCCTTTTTCAGATTACGTCAGTCTTCGATTAGAACAGTATTCTAAGGAGAGTCATTTTAATGTGTGAACCTACATCGCACATAGAATTTGAATCGATATTTTAAATGAGATATTGTTTGAGTTCAGAGAAAAACTACTATAAATCTATGAGACTGCCGTGTAATCATTAATCATATAATCATTTTACATTATTTAGAAACAAAGTAAATTGACTATCTAGTGTCATGTTTACTAAAAAAAAGGTTTTTCACTTTTCTCTCGAAAAATTCGACATCATAATTGAACGGGAAAAGGACAAACATTAACTTTTAACAACAATATTCTACTCAAAATCCTTAGGTTTTTATGAAGGATTGTTTATATGGATTTAAAAAACAAGTATTATAATTAAATTAAATGGTATACATATTGTTATAATCCAAAGAACACATGCGCATTACCCAGATGTGCTAAGAGTATAGTCGTAAATTTAGCGTGGCGACAAAACAAATACGTTCTTTAAAAAATCCGTCTCTCGCGTCGAAAGAATTCAAATGATAACAGCTATTTTTGTTATTTAACGCTGACCTACCTCACATCGTAATCAACCGCACGGCAAAAGTACGCCAGATATCAAATGTTACCTCAATGATTCGCGCATATTAACATCTTATCAGAATTAGCTGTTGCCAGTTTCTTACCACGTTATTCGAGGCATAAAAAAATTAATTTACTTTCTATTTTTTATAGTTTATTTTTTCTAAATTGATAATATAATTCCGCGGCTGATAATACAATGTCCCTTACATACTCAAGGTTATCAGTTGCATTACACAGCCTATCTGATAGCGTTCGAGTGAATTATAGATAAGGTTTTCGCATAATTTACCGGTCGCGTAAATGCGTGCGCTGAAAATTTTGCTTCAGCGTAATGATTAGAAGGATGTAAAAGTTTTGAATTTTAGAGGTTATAAGAAGTTATGTCTATTAAATAATGGTAACATGATTGTAATGTCTTTAATCACCGTCGTGTCTTAAGTCAATTTTTATAAAATTATCGGTGAATATAGAAAAAATAATAATACCTTAATTGCTACTGGATTTTATAAGATTAATGTATTAAAAAAATAATTCCTTCTGGTTAGGTGAAACGGTCTACAAAGCCTTCCCTAAAATAAAAAATAAACGTAGTCACTTGGTTTTAACGCATTTAACATTTAAAACGGATAAAAAGTAATAACCGTAAATGAATTTATATAGGTATATTGAATAGCTATTTTTAATTTACTAGGCTGGATGGTGGCATACAATAATAGAGCCGTGAGACAGGAAAGCTTAACGAAAACAAATATGTTGTGAACAGAACGCCGCGCTAACAGAAACACCCTTTCAAATAGTTATATACACACGGACAGGTAGGTTTTCAAGGGTTACTTGTCACCATCTATTATACTTATAACATACCATATTTTATACTATAGATATTTGCCACGTCAATTATCATACTCCTATTTTAAAAAGAAAATCAAATAATTTATTACTGTATAAATATAATAGCTAGAAGAGACATTAAAATTCAAACAATCATTAAGCAGGAAATTCAATCCAAATTATTACAATTTAAAATAAAGTTATCTAAAAAATAATCAATAATTAAAATTCAAAGTATTATTAAAATTAGAATAATGATATTTTGGTAATTATCAGAAAATCACCATACATAATAAGTTGGTATATTCATGGAAGTCCACGACAGTTTTGTTGGCAGAGAAATTAATATGCAACACTTCAAATGTATTAGTCTATAGTCTTTACATAATTCAAAACTAACTAAATTTGTTAATATCGTCAGTAATAAAGCGTAATACGAGGTAAACTGCGTAAAAAGTTTCACATTGTCCACAAGATAGGCAGCGCTAGACGAAGTAAAGGAGCGCGCCACAGAATGCGTAACGTTGACGCGATTTTCATCCGGCTACATATTTCGGGCATAGCAACTACATATCTGCAATCGAAAAAGTCAGCCGTCGGCGACGGGCACGCACTCATCCGTAGCACACAAACACACATGCACCTAGCTCACAATAGGCGCCTAGGTTATGTAACGGCCGTGTGAGCTACACACAAACATGCACAGATCGCACACACCGGCCGCAATAGTCGCACGGACATGTGCCCGGACGCAGACTTTACCCTTGAACGTATGCATAATGCCTAGATACTTAATTAGCGCATCGATAAAAATGTGATAAACCAATTTAAACGTTCCATTCCTTTAAAACACACCCAATAAAAGTCTCACAATCGATTTACGACATTAATCGATTGCATGATCAGTGAATGTTGCATCAAATAGAAATTCAAATCTCCAAATACTGGTAAAAAATATGTCAATTCGATACTACCTGAT